TAACATATTTATACTGAATATTTAACAACATTTAGCAACAAAATTAATGCTCAATTAATATTACATTGAAATGTTGCAATTTTAAAATGGTTATAAACCTGTCAATTGTTTTTTTGCATGATTTCCAGGTCAAAAAAAAATCTTGATAGAATATATTTGCTTAATATAAATAACTGGTTCTGACAACATCTTAGCCACACCTGTGATATTAGAAGTCAGCTACACCCACAAATTTAAAGTTTTTAGAGCATGCATGGGGATAAATTGGTTTAGTAAGCAAAGATTACATCAAGGCACCTACTTGTCAAAATGATCTCAGGACTTTTTAATCAACTTTCAGGGATATTTACATTGGTTTTCAAACATAATTTGGTAAATTTGTTGGATAGGCTTGACCAAAACTAATATGATTTCTTAATTATAGATTATCAAAATAAATTTACTCTGTAAAGTGGAAATGAATACATGATTTTCTTAAATTTGATTTATTTTATGTCATTGTAGACCCTCCAATATGTGGTCCAGTAATTAAGTGTAAATCAGTGTCCAGAGCGGTGAGGATATACAGAGGGAGGAGTTACTGCCTTGTGAGAGTTGAGACTCCTCAGGTCCTGAATTTGTGTCTAACTGAGCCAGGACAAACTTGCTTCCCTGTAGGTTGGTCATGGACCTGCAGCCTTAGGCTGCCTGTGTTGTTCCTTCTAATTGACTATGATGTTCACCTACTAGTTTTTGGTGCTTTTCATCTCACTTAACTATAAATGCAGTGCTTATCAAAGATGCCAGTGCATGCACACCTCCTGGGGATCATGTTAAAATGCAGATTCTGATCCCACAGGGCTGAGTGGGTCTCAGGAATCCACTACCCCAAGTGCTGCTGGGCTGCATAGCATACTGGAAACCTAAGAGCTGGTGCTGAGGAGAAAGATGTCACAAGGACAGGCATTTTCAGACTTGATAGGACATCAGAAACCCCCTGGGATCTGGTTAAAACAGCCTGGAGCTTCCTCTGCAGTAGATGTGGGCAAGGGATCCAGGAATTTGCATTTCTAACATATCAACGCAGTGTAGGGAGGATGCTGATCCTGTTGGTCCAAGAATCACATCTGGAATCAGTGATTTAGAATTTTAGTATAGGGGTTGAGGGTTTTTGAGGGTTTTTTGAGAGTTCAGGTTTAGATCAGTGTTGTAGCTCAGGGGTAGAAAGTGAGGTCTGGAATTAAATCCCCAACAGAAATGTAATTTTTTTTCTTAGCTATGGTACTCCTAGAAGAGAAATATGGTAGGTCTAGAATAGCCGCACATCCTTGTAGGATACCTACCATGGATAAAATGTCCTGATGGATTTCCATTATAAAGGAGACTGAAAGTTTATCCACTACTTAGTTACCCTTTAATTCCTAATTATATATTTTCAGGAAGGCAAAAGCAAATAAAGGAAATCTTTTCATTTGCACTTTGGATGAGTGTTTGTTATTTTGTTTTTAAACTTGTATTGAACTTCACCTGGTTGAAATAACTCTCCATCTATTTTAAGTGTGAATTCTAGATAAAAGCTCATGTTTCTAAAATGAAGTCTTGACTTTTCATTTTAGTATTAATAATTGTCATTTAAAAATTCCTAAAACATGGACAAAAAAATCCACAACTACAGATCTCGATTGCACACTGACAATTATATAAGAGTTCTTTTTTTTTTTTTTTTTAAAGCCTGTGTATTCTCAGGTAAAATGCAAATCAAAGGAGGGCCACATTTGTTTTTTTGTTTTTTGGTTTTTGTTGTTTTATTTTTTTTTTTTGGTTTTCCACCAAAGTTAGGGAATAAGCAATATCTAATTCTGTAAATTCATTGATCAAAGGCTATTTTATTTCCATCAATCAAAAGCTTAGCTTAAGAAGTAAAAATTTTAAAAATCATTTTTTTCATAAAATATACATTTTGAATGTACTTCACACATTTGTTTTCATAGAACTTATATACTCATTCTCTGTTTATATATTTGAAAGCAGTTATTATCATATTGTTGGTACTAAAAATTTGAGGTAAGTATAATTTTTTATCTTTTATGCAAACAATATCTATTCCAAGAATTTTAAAGCCCTATAAAATATGCAAGGGCATTATACCCATCCTTAGTAATGCTATCTCCTGCTATACTTCTTTTTCCTTTTCCATATCCAAGCAAAAAGACAAAGGCAGTGTACGATTAAATTTATTTGGTCAGACACTTTCAGATTTATTAGCGGTAAAAGAGGCTAGATCAATGGAGCAATGTAGTTAAGATTTTCAATGGGTAAAGACTTTCATAACCAATACATTTTCAAAAAGGATCAAGAACATCCTCAACTCGAAAACACCTAGTTTGAACATTTTCCCAATAGCACAACATATGGCATTTTCTACAAATAAACATATACATAGGTATCAGGTTTTATGAAATGCTTTTAATAAACTCAGGAGGAATTAAAAGTTCAAAGTTAGGAAGTGTTTAATGAAACTCTAAAAAATTACACGGATCAATTTTCATCTACGTGGGGTTCTCATGGAATTTTTTTACATGAAATGTTTGAAATCTGAATCAAGATGAGAAAATTTGAATTGTTTTTTCCCTCATTATAGACTTAAGTATAACTATTAGCTTGTGAATTGACAATTAGCTGACAACTTACATGAAATATAGCATTTTATTAACAAACTAATTTATTAGCAGTCTGGTGGAGTTTCGCAAATTTCACCAATCATACAATTTATACTTAGTTTGTGCATAAACAGAAAATGATTTTGAATTGCTGAAATAAATCAAACAACAGTTATAGTTTCTCTGTGATATTATTATTATTATTATTATTATTATTATTATTATTATTATTATTATTATTATTTTGTACCAGGAATTAAACTCAGGGGAACTTCACCACTGAGCTATATCCCTAGTTCTTTTTATTTTTTTATTTTGAAACAGGGTCTCACTAAGTTGCTGAGTCTGGCCTCAAACTTATGATCCTCTTGCCTTAGCCTCCCTAGTCCCTGGGATTACAGATATGCACCACTGTACGTGGCTGTGAGACACATTTTAATAATACTTATAAAATCCAAACTATTTAATACAAAATTCATTTTCCACATTTTAAAAATATTTCTTATAATACTTTTAACGTGTCTTTGCTTGCTAACTGAGAAATCTAACTATGGACATTAATTGTACTTTTATGTTGAGTTATAAATTTTATTTTCCATACTTAAACAAGCATAAGAGAAATACGAAGACAAACAAACACATATAAATTTACATTCAGCAAACAATTTTTAATTTCTCAGAGTATATTCTATACCTACATCTAATAATATAATTGACAATATTATGATATGTCTAAATTTATAATGCTATACTTAAAATTTTTTAAATGCATATTATTTTCAGAGTAACATGTACGTCATGAAATGAAAATTACATTACACCCTCAAATTGTCTTATAATGATTATAAAAATCGCACATTATGGATATCTTATAAAATCAAATCCAACTTATTAAGACTACATTTTGTTCCAATATCCAATTTTCTATCAAAAAGCACCTTTTCTAAGAAACTGAGAATAAGAGACCATTCACAATATTTAAAACAGTTATCACTCATTTTCAATAGTTAACAAATTTTTTAAAAAATAGGTTTTTTTGAATGAAAAATTGCCCCATTTTATATATTACTATTGTTTATAGATTCAGAATTTGCCACAAATGACTAATAAAACATTATTTAAATATGTAGTTTTCTCTAAATCAATAAAACATGATATTCTATTAATATGTTATGCCTTCAAAATAACTTATTTACTTAACTGTTTGTTCATTTATCTACCAGTCATCAAATTTTTTGTCAGTGTTACTCTAATAGATTTTAATATTTTAACATATGCAAACCAAACACTATTTCTAATTTTCTAGTTTTTAAAATAATTACCAATGCAGAATGAGCATTAAGTTCCAATATGAATGCCAATTCAATTTTTGGCATGTTCAAAGTGCTAAGCCCTGTCAATCAGAGCTACAGCCTAATGCTTTCAGGGCTTGTACAAATAATTGAAGATGCGAGGTGGGAGCTGCAGAGATTGTGGGTCTGTGTCAAACTACATTACAAGTGTTATTGCCAAGGCATTCGTACAGTTTTTTAAGCCAAGAGTCTATCTGATGGACAAATGGAACATATTTGTGAGTTGAAGTCAACCCATGGGCATCAGGTTTGATAGTCATTCATAGAAATCCTCTCCTATTCTCCTTGACAAATCTCTGCAACTCAAGTTGCTGTGAGTTGTCCTGTTCTATGTCTTTCCAACAATCCTAGAATCTGTAGGAACCTTATGACGCCTCAATATGAACTAGATCCAAGCCCTAAGCCCTAAAGGCTCCCAAAGAAGACAGAGCTAGAAACAGCACCTCTGAGGGGTGGAAAGTATGGAGAAAGGAGCTTTTATACCCAACAGAAGGTTGCACCTGAGAACATTTTTAAATCCTTCTTAAACCAGTCAGGTAGAAAGAAAGCAATTCTCTGGCACTAGAGAAAATATTTATAAAAACATAATTCTCCCCAAGATGTTAAAGAAAGTATTTAATTTGTACAGCTAAAAAAAAAAAAAGTCATTTCTGATTAGCCTCCACAATACCCAACTTTCCCACATAGTCTTCCATAGCACACAAAGTAGCATAAGTTTTCAAATACCATGGAAGATGCCAGAATGCACACAGTGCAGTCCCAAAGGGGCCGTATATACATGCATGTAAAAGAAAATAAACAATGAAAACTTTATGTCTAGAGAATATGAAAGTTCTATCAGACAAGGAGAATTTAGGGGAGCCTCATAGTTACAGTACCCTTGTCTATGAGACTTGAAGTTTGTCTCCAATAAACAAAATAATTAGCAGATGCTGCTATCAGTTTACATTCAATAAATTCTTACAAATGTATCGGTAGATGTTACTCCATTAAAAAAAAAAAAAAACATTTATTTCTGTACACATGTCTTTGCCAATGTCCTAAATTTGGGTTCCAGGTGATCTAGAAACTCCAGCCCTTCTTCTTCCTGCCGATCGCTGCAGCACCCTACTGAGCCGGCCATAGAGCCTTTGCCTTCATAATTGTAAGAACGAACGTAATCTTCAGAATGTTTGTGTTCCTCATCTTGTCCGCACAGGTACACCTTCTGTTTCGAGAAATAGCACATTTTATTATTATTTTTTTAAAAACACCTAAACATATTAGCAGAAAAATGATGTCTTTGATTTACCTTTTACTGTTTAATTTTTAATCAGAGTGTGTCCTCTAATGGATTCCTACATATAAAAAATGCACATGATTGGTCTGTATTCTATTCATTTTTAAAATATAGCAAATAAATAAATGTTCCCAGTGAACACATTTATAAAATTAAGGTTTTATATACAACACATGACTTAAAACTTCCCATTTGAAAATAAATGTGTGTAGTAGAAATTTACCTCTGTAGCCTTTTCACATATATGGGGAAAACCAATATAGGCTAGGATTCTTAGAATACACTATTGTAGTATAATAGTGTCATATATTGTACTGGCTAATATCAACCTGTACTGACTAATCTGAACACAAAACAATCAAAGTAATGAAATAAAACCCAGAATACAAGTTCAACAATCTACCCGGTTTATTTTGATAGCCAGGACTTCATAACTATATGCAGAACTCAAATATACTGAAATTATTGATAATTTATGATCTGTTGTTTATAACACATATTTCATTCTAGATTTTTTTTTCCGGTAATTTTTAGGAAAGAAGGTTTCAGTCTTAAATATACCAACATATGTCACTCCTAGATAAAGTCTTGTAAGCTGTATTTTTAAAATTTTCAGATCTTTTGCTTTGAGGTTTGGACCTGACATCCATCTATATGACAATTCCTTCAACATTAGAAAAGTGATATGTTCCAGGTGTATGAGGAGCAAAATTTTGGGGAAATACTGGGTCATAAATGATGTCTAACTTTCATGTCACGTGAACTTGAAGACATTGAGACTTACTTCACCAAGCCGAGGTTGGGTGAAACTCTGCCAGTCCGTGTACGCATATCTGCCGGTGTCTATACCTCCCTGCCCTACTCCCTTGCTGGACTCCAAGGTGTGATGGCCTTTGTTGGAATCCAAAGTGTAGCCTCCTTTGACCATCTCAAAACTTTGCTGCGTTTTGATTCCCTGGCCACCAAGAGTACCAACTGACATGCTTGTGTCACAAATGTTGGATGTCTGTGTGGGGATCCTAATATTCGCTTCCTAAAAAAATAAAGTGAGAGTTATAAGATGAATCCAACTGAAACTCACGGTTCACTTTCATTTCAAATTTCTCACCACAGACATAGCTCTTACTTTCTGTGCCCTAGTGGCCCCAAATCAGGATTACAGCAATAGCCACATCATAGGTGGTATGGTGTAAATTGAGTCCCTAAAACCTCACATGGAGAGGTCCTTACCTCCAGGACCTAGAATGTAACCTTAGATAGAAATAGAGTCATTGTAGATGCAATTGCTTAAGTGAAGATGCAGTTATACCAGATTAGGGGAGTCCTTAATCTGATATGGCCAATGTCCTTAGAAAAAGGGAGGTTTGGGTATAGGCACATGCCCAGGGAGAATGTCATGTCAACATTTGTGCTGCCATAAGACAAGGAATTGGAAGAAGCTAGGACAGATACCTGAACAGGTCCTTCCCTAGTGCCTTGAGAGGGAACATGACCCTACCAACACCTTTGTCTCTGATTTGTAGCCTCCGAAACAGTGAGACAAAAGTTTCTATTGTTTAAGTCACTCAATTTGCTATGCAGTCCTTTGAAACTAATTCAACAGACTCCTGAAGTTTAAAGGAATGAAAACATGGCACTTGGAATTCTGCTTGGCTTAGTGCTCCATAAATATTACTGGTTATTATTGTTGCCATTATTACTAATCATCACACTGCGTCACTGGATCACCACACAATTCAAGGGAAGTTAAATCCGATTTACCGTCACTTCTTCTCCAGGTCCTTCAGTATTGGATACAATTAAATTTTGCTGTGCTACATCTTCTGGAAAACATTTCTTTACTGTCCTCTTGGTAGTAACACAGAAACATGTAAACATAATACCTAAAAAAAAGGAAAAGATTGAAGTAAAATAGTATTTTTTAATCCAGTATACACTAAATAATTTGATTATCAGACTGTTTTGAAGTTTCTTTGCACAACTTTTAAAAATGTATTCCACAAATTGAGGTCACTTCTGGTCATAAAATTTAAAGCAGAATATTTGTAAAATGCACTCATCTATACAATCTCTGTCTTAGAGTAATAATACCTCTTTTCCTAGGTCCAAAAATATGTATCTCTTACATTCTCTATATTTAAAAAAAATGGGGCTGGGGATGTGGCTCAAGCGGTAGCGCGCTCGCCTGGCATGCGTGCGGCCCGGGTTCGATCCTCAGCACCACATACCAACAAAGATGTTGTGTCCGCCAATAACTAAAAAATAAATATTAAAAAAAAATTCTCTCTCTCTCTCTCTCTCTCCCCCCTCTCTCTTTAAAAAAAAAATGACTTCATTTGAGCTTTAAGATAGTATTATTGGTATTTGAAGTGATACAGAACACACTTAACAGACTTACAACAACAAAACAAAGAATTTAGACATAAATATAAACAAGACAATAACATAAAACCAGTGTCTGGTTTTGAAAGTGTATATTAACTAATCCAGTGTTATGAGGAACATCCAGTTTATCCTGAAACTCAAATTCAAATGAATTAGGACACAGTAAAGGCTATGGGACAAGTTTGTAAATGCAATTGTTCTTTGTAGTTGAGAGACAGAAGCTGAAGTCTGAGAAAGGTTGCCATGAGTTTTGTGTCTTCAAACAATGATTTGTAATGGTTAGACCTGTGGCTCAGTGGCAGAGCACTTGGTTAGCATGCATGAGGCCCTGGGTTCATTCTCCAATACTTAAAAAAAATGTAGAATGCAAAATCTAAGTTTCCTTTGCTTGCATTATGTCCCCTTAGTGGCCCAACATATGATCATTTTTTTTCACTCATTGGGGTCTTCTTATGATATGTACTAAATCACTTTATTACTAGTATGAAACATAAATATCTAGAATTTTAGAACTACCTTATCTTCTTGTATTTATGTATTCTCTATGTAAATGTGACTACTGCTTGGAAGACTGTATTTTATATGGGAGGGAATCTTAGTAATTTTATCCAACTTCTACATTTTACATATGAAAAAAATGAGTTCAAAGAAGAAGAAACGTGAAACATTATTGAAGAACTGAGGCTCCTGCCTCTGGCATTTACTTTAAAAATTTCAATCTACTCTTATTGGTATGTTTTTCTTTTGACTTAGAGAACATGTATCAAAGGTTATACAGATAATTAATTTGAAGAATCGTCATATTATCTTTTTTCTAAATGGCCATGATTTGAATTAAGCATCCTCCAAAGGCTATGCATTAAATTTTTGGCCCTCCAGCTCATAGTGCTATTAGGAGATGGTGGAATCTTTAAGATGTGGGGCCCAGAGGGAGGAAATCCAGTCATTGGGAGTGACCTTGAAGGGGATATGAAGACTCTGGCCTCTTCCTGACTTCTTTACTTCGTGGCTACCACTAGGCAAGCAGCTTTGTTCCAGCACATGTTCCACAGCACAGGCCCAAAAGCAACAGAGCCCGTTGACAATGGACTGAAACCTCTGAAACTATGAGCCAAAATAAACCTTTCTTCATTATAAATTGTTACCTTTGGTGATTTTGTTATAGTAATGGAAAATCAACAGAAACATTAGGTAAATCATGGGTTAACAAATTCTATATGATAATACTTACACAATAATAATGCAGAACCCAACACCATGGCAAGAATAGCCCATTTTCCAAGTATAACATTTCCTGGTTTAATATCTCTCTCATCTTTAATAGCCATTCTACAGTCAGATGGAGTTGTGCAGTCACATATTCTCACTGACAACACATGTTTTGCAGACAAACCATGTCTGTCTTGTATTTGGATAGGCACAGAATAATAGTTGTAATCAAGATTTTGCTTTGCACGAAGAACACCTTGTTTACCTAGGGAGGAAAAGGTAGAAATAATATATATTGATATGACCTTTCCATAGCAATATTATTCCTACTTGGTATCCTTGGGAATGGAGGTGGGTATATTTGAAATAAAACTCTAATGTTTCTTCCTTATTGGTTTATTTTTTAAATGGTGTATTATCATTATATATAAAAGTAGAATTTACTGTGATATGTTCATAGATGTACATGACATAGTTTAGCTAATTTCATTCTGCTCTCCTCCTTTTTCTCAAACTTTCTCCCCCCCACATTCTTCAGCTTCTCCACTGTTCTTAATTGTTCATTTTTCTTTCTTAAAAATTATTTTGATTTCACAGTAACCCAGAAAATCAAATTTCATTTTATTTTGTGCTCACATTAGATTAACATAAACTTAACATGTTATTCAAGTGATCATTTAAAATGTATTCATAAATTTTCTTAGGAGATTTACAATAAGAAACTAAGTATAACATAAATATATATATATTTATATATATATTTTATATATATATAAAAGCAAAGTATTCTCCTTTTTTAGGATCTACAAGATAATCTCCTAAAATTAACATGTTTATTATGAGAAACTGAGGTGAAAATCAAGACCATCTGCCATCTCAAACCACTACTGGGTACAAAATTTAGCACAATTCTTTACCATTCTTTGATTCTATAGTCCAAAGTTTGTTGGTAGAATTATCCAGAAAGAATTGAAAAGGTGGACCATTATCAGGCCCATCGTCATCTTCAGGTTCCAGAAGAGCATAATCTTTATCATGCTTACAAATTGTCACATCTTTTTCAATTTTTGGTGGATGATCATTAAAATCTTCCAAAAGAACTACGAGTGTTCCAGTGCAAGATCGGCCAACTAGGAGAGATTTTAAAAATAAGTTATGAAAACTTAAGAAATATATTTATTTTCAACAATTTATGTAATATACAGTTGACATCTGCTTTCATTTATCTTCCCAAATCTCAGACACTATTAATACAAACTAGTGACACTCTTCTTAGAAGACTGGTGGCTGGATCAGATGATCTTTTCAGGTGCTTTTTTAAAACTAAAAGGTGTGAGATTCCAATGTCATTACAGAAACACCTGTTGAAAATAAAATTGATTTCGTACACTTGTTTTATAAAAAAATATATTCACCCTTAGAATAAAAATACTTTACATTTTGTCATAAATTATCTTCTCAGGATTTTCTCCTTTTCTACATTTATTCTTTGCTCAAAACTTGTAAAACTTCACATTAAAACCTCTAGGTGCTTTATTTCCTCTCTGCTTTGGTACTTTCTGTCGCTTCTACCAGGAATATTTTTCTCCTCTTCCTGGTAAACCCTATTATGGTTATTAGTATTATTGTCTGTGCTGGGGCTTTGAACCCAGGGCTTCATGCACACAAAGCATGTGCTACCTTTGAGCTATATCTCCAGTCCAATCCAGTTATCTTTAAGAATCTACTAAAATGTCACTGCCTCATGAAACCTGTGACTTCTACAGACAACGATGTCACAACCCCCTGTTTTTCTCAGAACACTTTGCTCCTGCCTTGAATGACACACTAAATATTGATCACGTAACACGGTGAGTCACCTTCATCTTGAGAGCCCAGTATTTCTTGGCTCACTATAGCTGAATGTTACCACATCAGACATAGTTTTTATACTTTGAAAAAAAATAATTGAATAATTCAGAAAAATGAGTGTGTACTTTCACTCTAATTCAATCAGTATAATATTGTTAATAGAGACTCTCACTCAACTGTTGATTACCACCATTACTGTCCTAATGTTTCACACATAAATCTTAAGAAATGTGTCTAATTAAAATATTCTCCATACTGGGTGCTTTGGTACATGCCTGTAATCCCAGTGGCTTGGGAGGCTAAAGCAGGAGGATCATGAGTTTAAAGCCAGCCTCAGCAACTTAGCAAGGCCCTAAGCAACTTAGCAAGACTGTGTCTCAAAATAAAAAGTAAAAAGGGCTGGGGATTGTGGTTTAGGGGTTCAATCCTTAGTACAAGAAAAAAAATACACACACACACACATACACGTATATACTGGATGCTCACTGCACATATAAATTTATATATATATGTATATATATGTATATATATATATATATCTCCCATAATTTGTGTCACTGAATATATAAACTGATACATATATATACAAATATATATATATAATCCTATAATTTGAGTTTGAACATGTTTAAAAACATGTTCAAATTCTATCATTTGTGAAAAGATTATAAACTTCCAAAAATGGTATGAGTTTGGAATTGAAACAAAAAAATTATCCAATTTCTCATACTTTTTACATTGAATGCTATAAAGTCTACCATAAATCATATCAAATATAATCCATTTTTTTTCTTAGTTTGAAATAACATCTAAGTAATATCATGTTTTATATTTCAAGGAAATATTTTTTTGTTAAATAATGACAACAAAACTTATTTATTCAATATGACCTTAAACTTATGAATGCTATAAAATAACTACTATATATATATATGCTATATGTAAATATATATATATATATATTTAAAGTAATCTTGCTGAAACAAGTTTCAAAATATCCAAAAATAAAAGAGAGAGATACTATTAGGGAAAAATACCTACAATGGCATATAAATATGTTAAGGCTACCAGAAAATTATAAATAAATCTGAATATGAGTAACAACTTCAAAATCAGCAAACTAATAAGAAAAAAAAAGAGTAATGTAAAAAAGAAGCTTTTCTAAAGTTAAAAAAATGTAGTAACAGACATTACACATGAGTTGATGTGTACTGATTTACCTTTTACATTTAAAAAAAAAAACAGCCTTTCTCTTTATGGAGAAATAAAGAGCACAATTTAAAAAGCTAATAAAAATACGGCAACCATAGGAAAACAAATCAAGATTCACTTAATCCTATATTCAAGTAACATTTATTACATGACATCATTTGCTATCATGGTCTGTTTTAAACATGCTGGTGAAAACAGAATAAAAGATGCTTGGAATTGTTTAAATGGATGTCCGTCAAAGACAGAACTACAAAAAGTCAAAACCAAAACAATCAAAGTGCCTTATCCCTAGGAAATAGACCAAAAATAAGTAACTGACAATCGTCAAATATCATGAAAAGGTAAATAACTACATTTGTCTACCTTGAAAGGACAGAATTAAATGACAAGTATCAGTCAGAAAGGGACATCACAGAGTCAGAGCTGCTAAGTACATGTGGACTATATAAAATTCAAACTGATAATGCTTCAATAAGAGGGTCTCTGGAAGCCATAGTTCTTCAGTGCTACTTAAATGTTTTCATTAACTGGAAGCTCACTGCATCATGAGCCAGCCTGGGAAGCATATATGGAGTGTTTTAATTAATTGTTGGAAAAATTTCAGGTTCTTCCTTCTTAATCTATCACCCCAGATGTGGACAACTATAAAAATGATACATAATGCAGTTAAATGATAATATAATATAGAATGGTAATGTAACAATTATAATATAATTATATTGTTAATTCATATAATATATATATAAGCTCTAGATGATTTCCAACCTATTTAAATAGATTGTGTCAAGTTCACTGAAATATTTACAGAACTGAAGCCACAAATACCTCCTATTAATTTCCACATGACAACCCTTCTACATTTGCTATTTTAGGAAAATTATCTTTACAGAATCCCAAAATACATTATAAATTTTTTAACTCAATTTTCTACATTGGAGCCAGTTGTTGTTCCAAATGCAAAACATGCCCCTGAAATTGTGTAGCTTTTGGTAATGAACTTCATAACATAGGCCTAGAGATTCAAAGGGCCCTCAAACAATGAGGAATGAGACATTTTGGTATCTGCATTGAATAACCTATGCCAAATTCTATGCTAGATGCTAGATGAAAGAATGTTTATAAAAAGGGCAGTGGAGAAGTCTTTATTAAAAATGGAGCTCATCATTATTATAATTTAGAGAAAGAATATACATGGAAACAATGAAAGTACCTTGTTCAAAGTAAAGACACATCATATGTGATAATTAGCATATTAGTCTCACTGCAGGAATGTGAAAAGGTATTAAGAACAGACCAAAGTTTAGTGGGCACGATCATAGAAGTTGTTATTGCCATTCACTTTAAGACTTTAATGGACCTGAATTTAAAGTAGGAGGGGCAACAGTATTCTAGGTGGAAAACATATAGAATAGTGTTTTCTAGATTGATAACCAGGGAAATCAGCCTAACAAAGAGGACGCACACTAGAAATACAAGAACATGAACTTGATTCTAAGAAAACTATAAGAATAACTAGGTCATCATTCAGAAATACTTGTGAGCTTCAAAACAAAATCCTTGCTATATATATAAGCATATGTTTATATATTATATTTATATAATTCATATCTTATATAGTGTTTATATATGTTCATATGTAAATATAGATAGATAGACAGATAAAAGTTCAAAGGAGCAAAATCTTTCATATTGCCACATGATTTTTCTATTACTGAGGTTAACTATGACCCTGGGAGGTAGATTAATGTAAACTTTTAATTTCCTTGTACAATGTTCAGTAAACCGTGCTTTTTAGCTCCAAAGAGCAAAGTTAATTTTTTATACTTTATTCTGCATAATTTTTTCCTATGATTCCTACTTTCCATGGCAACTTGCCTGGTACTTAGAACCTGATAGAAGAATAAATGAGTAAATAGGACTCCCTGTTTGTCATTATTGTGTTCCTGAACCACTTAGATTTCATTTTTACTCACAAAAGAAGAGTAAATCATCCAAAATTATAGAGTAATAGTAAATTAACAACATTTATTAGGGAAGGTTTTCCCCATTCTTTAGCAGGTCTTTTCCCAAAAAAAATTGCATTTAAAAATTATATTAAGAATATGTGTATTATTCCTAATCTCACTCCGGTCAGAATGGCAATCATCAATAATCAACAATAAATGTTGGAGAAGATGTGGGGGTTCACTCATGCATTGCTGGTGGAACTGCAAATTGGTGCAACTACTCTAGAAAGCAGTATGGAGATTCCTTAGAAACCTTGGAATGGAATGACTATTTTGACCCAGTTATCCCATTCCTAGGTTTATACCCAAAGGACTTAAAATCAGCATACTACAGGGATGCAGCCATATCAATGTTTTATAGCAGCTCAATTCACAATACCTAAACTATAGAACCAACCTAGGTGCCCTTCAACAGATGAATGAATAAAGAAATTGCGGTATATATACACTATGGAATATTACTCAGTCTTAAAAAGGAATGAAATTATGGTATTTGCCAGTAAATGAATGGAACTGGAGAACATCATGCTAAGCAAAATAAGCCAATTCCAAAGAATCAAAGGCTGAATGTTTTCTTCAATATGCGAATACTAATTCACAATGAGCAGGCAGGGCTAGGGAAGAATAGAGGTACTTTGGATTAGAAAGATGGGAGTGAAGGGCATGGGGAGTATGGGGGTAGGAATGATAATAGAATGAATTAGACATTATTACTCTATGTGTATATATGATTAAACAACCAGTGTAACTCTACTTCATGTATAACCAGTAGAATAATAAGCTACACTCCATTTATGTATGATGTGTCAAAATGCATTCTGCTGTCATGTATAACTAATTAGAAAAAAATTTAAAACATAAAAAAATTCAAAAAAGTATGTGAATGAGAAGTATCAAGAGGAAAGAAAGATCATATGCAGGTGATTCATTCATCATATTCACATTTAGGGTTTCTTTCAAAGGCAATTTCAGATTTTTGAAGCCCAAATATTTTAGCTCACAAAAATTGTTCTTTAGCTTGGTCAGCACACTAATTAGAGTGTGCAACATGGTATTTGTACACGAAGGGCCACAGACTGAAATAAGGCTAGATGGGGCAGATTTATGTCTGAGTCAGCTCCCCTTCTCCATATAAACTGCAAGCACCTAGCATCCCCGTTAGTTTAAACCTTTTATGTCTCTCTTAGTAGATATGGCTTTTGTTTTATGTCAACAAGAAAAAAAAATAAGTAGGGTATAATAGCTGAGAAAACAGCATATTTTATGTAGATGAAAACAGTGGAAACCTTCTTGGGTCAGGAAGATAGTCAAAAGAATTGGCTATGTCAGAAAAGCTGAAGTTCATTATTATTTGTGAAATTTTTTCCTTTAATGAGTAAATATATAATTGCCATGATGAAGTAAATTAGCATAACTTCTATTTATATTTTTGGCACTTTTAATATTTATTTTGTGTATTTCTATGATATATACAATACATTAGCATAGTAGTATATGTATACAAATAAAACATTAGCAAACACTTTGCAACATATTTACAAACATAATGAAATTGATTTATTGATATAAGTTCAAAAAGGGTTAAAGATCATTACAGTATTTGAAGGATGCTCTTTACAGATTAGTTCTTAGAATTAACCTTAGAGATTACAAACCATAGCTTTTTATCCCTTCTTTAGGAAAGAGGATAAATGATTTGTTCTCCATTAAGAAAAGCTCAGAACAAACCTATCTGGAACTTAACTGTTTTAGGAGGGTTGAAACTATTTAGCATGTTCAAATCATAATAATCTAAACCTGCATTTCTGAAAAAAAAAAAAAAGAGAGTTCCTTGAATAGGCCACTGTTTCCTCAGAACTTAGACTGATCATTTATTCCCTTGTAGCTCTGCATAACTGATGCTTGGGAGCCTGAACTGGTTAGACTCCAATCATAACACAAACATTGCTCTTTTTTTTTTTTTTTTTTTTTTGCAGTATTCCTTATTATTACATTAATGCAAACATGGCTTGCATTAACTTTTGATCCAGAAATGAACAGATTCCACCCGAAGTTTTCTTAGAAACATACCCTACTTTTATATTTATTTCTAGAAAATGGCACTTACCTGCATCTCTTGCCACCACTGAAACATTGTACTGGTTGTTTTTTACAAATTTCGATTCTCTATCTAGTACTTTTACAGTCCTCAAATCTCCAGTGTGTTCATTGATTTCAAACCAGTTATCTTCATCTCCCAACTTCTGATACCTAATTTTCAGAAATCAATATATAAAGGATGACACCCAATAGCAGACATAATCTTACAATTTGTCATTTTGAAAAATACATAGAACTTTCCTAAATTTGCAATCCATTTACATCCCACCAGACTAGCACCATGGTGCATTCCTGTGATCCCTACAACTCAGGAGACTGACACAAAGAAGATCACATGTTCCAGGCCAGCCAAGGCAAATTAGATGGTGTCTCAAAATAAAATAAAAAGGGCTGGGGATGCAGCTCAGCAGCACAGTGTCCCTGGGTTCCATCCCCCAGTACCAGAAAAGAATTTTAGATTTCAATAAAAATGAAGGAACTTTTTGAAAGGTACCTTACCTTAAGCCTTCACCACTGCGTGTTTCTGGGTCCAGTGCTTTGTATCCAAGGAGTTCCTTACCAGCTGGAAGGCCATCTTTACTCTGAATAATTTTCACTGGTGGCTCGCATTCAGGGCCCTCATCACTGTCTTTGATTTTAACAGTCACAGTTGTAGTACACATTGAGGGAGGAGTTTGCGAGTTTGCTGCTTTAGTGAATTCTGCTTCATTAAGTACACCGATTTGCAAAACAACTTGGCGATTGAGTTCATAGTTCAATGGCTATTCAGTAAACATAACTTTAATCAGTCAGTATATACACAACATGGACTTATGATTTTGATTCCCAAGTTTTAACATAAAGAGAATAACATTTTCACATTTAAAATGTTACCAAAAGTTGTTGCTAATACAAAAACTAATAATTAGCTTTCCAAAATAATAAATGCTGTCCAACACAAAATTGTTGTTTTTGACTCAACCAATGTTTCTTCTTACTTTTCTTTTAGAAGACCCTACCTTCATTTTATATTAAATATTGAAATATGAATAGAAATGCAGAAGAAATGTTTGAAAAAATTCAGATTATGTCATTACCTATCATATGAAATAATAATGATACATGAAATTCTTCCAGGCTAATGTATAAAATAATTTGATGAGATTTGGCTACCATGTAAAAGATGTCATTGTATTACTTAGCAGCATCTTTTTAAAGAATATGAAATTTAGGTCTGTTTAGTTTATAATCAAAGTGCTCAATTCTAAACTGAAGAATCAGAAACACTCTTGAAATAAAAGTTAAATGATAAAAAATAGAAAAAGAGAAATCTAGAAGAACAAAAAGAGAAAGAAAATGCAATATAATAATTAAAGGTCATTTTATGGGAATCTTATCAGGAAAACAATTTCTACATAAAGATTCTGGGAATATCTGTTGTCTTTTAGAAATTTATGATGGAAAATAACGATGCAAGAGGTTGGTGAGGTTATGGATAGAAGGGCTCAGAAAGGAACCAGGTGAGTAACTAAGATTAATTCTAAGGCAAATATCTGATAAAATATTCAATATTTCTCTGCCTTGATTTTCCTCATATGTAGAGCAATGAGTTTTATGCCTGACATGACTTTCCTCTAAGAAAATAAATGAGGGTAAAATAATAATAGGAAAGATTTCAGTACCACACTGCAAAATTCTAGTCATATACATAAGGAAATATTAATTATTTTTATCAGCACAAAAGCTTAAGTTTGAATGCCTTAAAACATGGTTATTTTATTAATTTACCTTGACCACACACAAGATTCCTTCATTTGTATTTGGATCTGTGCTAATTTTGAAGTTTCCATTCTCGTTTCCCTGTAGGATTGTGTACACAGCCTTTGAGTGAGGCGTATTGGCCAAATCTAGGTCATGTACTTTCATCCGTAAAATCACCACGTCGATTCTATTTTCTTCTACTTCTGTAAAATACTGAAAAGCAAGCCTTTTTAAATTAGAAATCTATAGCTTTTACAATATGGTCTTATACTCTAAAATTCATATTTAAAGAAAAAGAGATATGGAATGTATACCCATTTGTTGGGAAATAACTTACAAGTTTAATTCATAGCTTACTTATTTTCTCCTAAATATAAGATATACATATATCTATCATATATATGCATAAATATCATCTATATCTGTTTTTATATTTATGTCTATATATCTTACATTGTTTACTGGGAAAGTTTGCTCAAAAGTGACAGTCTGTGTTAAGTAGTGAGTCCAGCAGAAGAGATAAAGCTAAACCATTTTTCATCTTAGAACTTGAAATGTAAAGACTCTTCTATTTCTTCACCTTATAAAAAAAATTAAATCCAAGCAATCTGATCCTGGAGCTTAGCAACCAAGAAAATGTTGAACACATGAGCCACCTCAAGGGTGGAAAAGCTCTTGGGTAGCCACAAGCATGGTTATTTCCACAGCCTCCAGAAATGACTGGTACTTCAATTGTTTTTACAAAAATCATATTTTTCTCTCTATTATTTGTAAGTGGCAACTATTTAAGTCAAAATGCATGATCTCCCAGAGCTACCAAGTTCCATATTTGTCTTTTTTTTTTTGAAAACGTAAATGCATCCAGATAAATGAATACAGAGATACACTCACAGAAGTTTCCGTGAAATATGGTGGATTGTCATTTTCATCCTCCAGGGAAATAGTAATTGTTCCTGTATTAAATAAGCCAAAAGGTTGACCTCCCATGTCTCGCACTTCCATTACTAACTTGTAAGTATCACATTTCTGAAAAAAAGGAAAAGGGTACAATGATGAACACTTCTATTTCCTCTAACTTACAATTGTCAGAACTACTCTTTCTGCTGTTATTATTTTACAAATATTTTGCAAATATTCATGTTTAAATTTTACACTCTCATACACTTTTTTATTTATTTTGATGCAAATAATTGAACTCAGAGCCTTGCACATGCTAAGCATGTGTTTTACCACTGAGGTATTATCTTAACCCTTAATACAGTTTTTAAAAGGACACCATAATATAAAAACAAGAGACTGTCCAATCCATACAATGGGAAGCTGATGTTTCTAATATAACATTACAAAATCTAAAGATACTTTGTTCATAATTGCCAAAACGTCAGAGAAACTTAGATGCCCTTTAGTGGGTAAATGGATAAGTAAACATATATTCAGACAATGGAATATTATTAAGTGCTAAAAAGAACTGGGTTATCAAGCCATGAAAAGATACGGAAGAAAATTATATGCAAATTATTAGGAAAGTGAAGCCAATCTGAAAAGGCCAAACACTGTATGATTCCAACTATATGACATTCTGCAAAAGGAAAAATTATGGATGCAGTAAAAAGGATCAGTAGATTTCAAGAGAGAGGAAAAGGAAAAGAGGAATTGGAGGAATACAAAAGGGCAGTGAGATCACGCTATATGATGAATGCCTGTCCCTACAGATTTGTCCCAACCCATAGAATGTACAGCACCAAGAGCGAATCCAATGGAAATGATGTACTTTGGGTGATAATGATGCGCTGATCTAGGTTCATTGATGATAGCAATGTATCTCTGTGGTGCAAGATGTTAATAGCGCAGAAGGCTATGTGTCAGGGCGGGGGATACCTGGGAACCATTTGTATTTCTATTTAATTTGCCTGTGAATCTAAAGCTGCTTTAACAAATCAAGTTTTTTAACTTTTAAAAATTACATCTATTGGAAGTCAAATGAAATTACTTTTCGTAAAACAAAAATAGAATAAACAAAACAATTTTAGCACCACCACATCACATTAGGTAAATTTGTTAGACCTTGTCTAACACCTTGTGCTTTCCCATTATCTCTGTAGAGCAAAGGGAAGTCTCCAGAGAAGCCCTAACCCTAGTCCACGGAAGAAAACTTAGGAAGGGGCCACAAGGGCCATATTGCAAATTGTCTTGAGAGTTAATTGTCAGTTTACATGTAGTTTAGTGATGGAGAAGTTGATCAATTTCTTACCTCTCTATCCAGCAGAGGTGTAGTTGTAGTGATGACACCTGTATCTGGATGTATGGAGAAATGCTTTGGATGATCAGGGATTTGTTGTAGAATTTTGAATTTCAGACGAGTATGAAGGGTTCCAGGTTCATCATTGTCTATGGCAGTCACTTGTCCCACTGAAGTTCCTGTTAGATAAATCCAATATTGTCAGAAAGTTAAAAACCCTTTTGTTTATAATATAATCAAATTATAAACAAAATGATATTTTTAAACAAAAATAAAATTATAAACAAAAATAAAAATCAAGGCATTGCTATATTAAACTGTCTAGGAAAGAAAGAAAAGCACAAAATGATGAGTTTTACAGATAATGTGAGGAGTGTATACATGTTCTGCAAGACTTCTCCAAGCCCCATGTCTTGAACTCCAATTAAGTGGCTACTGTGATTAACAGGATTTGTATTCTACAAAAACCAGAACAGGTCCCACCCTACCCTTGGTCACAGAGCCTACACTTGTTAACCATAGTTTTAAAATTCTTTCTAAAATACTATCCCAGTTCATGGACTATTTTTGAACAAGACCTTCTTTGAATATTCTGTTTTATATCTCTATTTAATAATGCTAATGAAAGAAAAGGCACAACTTTGCATGTAACAAATGTTTTTATATTTTAATAAACAGAGTTTCTGAGTTATTAGTATATGCAAGTGATTATTAATATAAGAAAGAAATAAACATTATGCATTAGTCTGAGTAACTTTTAGACAAACTTCACAGCCCAGACATGGCTATGAAATGCTGTTTCAACAAGCCACTGATTGTGAAAGACTAATATACATACATATGTGCCTGGTCACAGAATGGAGGAGGCCATAAGAAATAACAGCATTTCTTGCTGATTCTTAAAATAAACTAGACTATATTATTATGTTCTTTGGAAGGCCTAGGTTATAATCTTGGCTTCATATAACATGAAACAAATTATTTTTTTTCAATTTGGAAAATATGCCAAGAAAAGCAATATATATGTTGTTACAAATCTGGGATTTGAAAATCGTAGGATTTTTATGCTATGATATATTTTTGGGTCCTTGAAAATATGTTGAAACTTTATAGAGCTTCCAATTATATATTGTTTTATAAAACACTTGTGATCTCATATACATGGCAAAAACTGAGAATATAAATATTTGTCTGTTGCACATTCAGATCCAAAGTAGATTAACTAGATAGAAACTTTACATATTATTTAGCAGTCTTCTAAATGTGCATAGCAAAGTGAACCTCACAAGGTTTGCCTTTGAAAACTGTGTGATCTTATAAAACTAGAAAGTTGTACATCATTTATTCTTGAAAGTCAAGTGTTTTTAGTATTCTATAATTTTTAAAACATTAGTAAGGAATTCAATTGAAGTTGAAGTCTAGTGTTTTCCTAGAATTTCCATCCTATTAGGCACAGGTTACAAGTTTAGGATGAAATAAAGGTTAATATCCAACAGTTAATTAATAAAGAAATCAACACTGAACTGCAAAGTTTCAATAAAATGTGGTATATATAATGTGTAAAAGTCAACCTCTTTGTATTTCAAATATCAGTTAAAAAATATTCCCTGGCATCATAAAATGGGGTTTTCTATATGTTTTATTATGTCACTTTACTTTGTTACTCTTCCTGAATTGGAAAGGAAAGTTGAATTTTTCCTACATCCAGCCTTTCAAATATCCTCAGGTGAATCATAATTTAAAAAACAAACAATGAATCTATAAAATAATAACTTCTCATTTTGCTGGAAGACAAGTGGTTTGGGGTCCATTCTTAACTTCTGTTTCATAGTCATGAAGGATTCCTAGCTAGTCCCTTAGGAAACTAAGCCACCTCTCTCCACAACAGAATTTCTAAGCATACATATCTAGACCAAACTCCATTTCAACCACAGCCAACCCTACAAAGAACTGAGTCAAGAAAAGAATTATAAAGTCATGATATAAAAGGGAATGCATATGGAATAAAAGGGAATGCATATGGAATTCTATCTTATGGAAGTGCCTAAATTTACAAACTTGCTCAGAACAGTTTGAGCCTTAATAGGGATGTCATTTAACATCAATATCCAAGGAAGAATATGTATAGTCAAAAACACAAAAGAACCTGTAAATGTAATGATAAAATCAAACATTTTATCTTATAATACCAAATGTCAATTAATCTCCTTATACCCTTATAAAATATGAACTTACCAGATCGGCAATTTTCAGGCACGCTAAAAACTGTCATTTTGGTTTCAAAATATGGGGCATTATCATTATCATCTTCAACTTTGAATAACAAGGGGAGCGGATAATCTGGTGCATAGCCATCTGCAGTTGTTGCATAGCCATATACCTAAAAGGAAGAAGAACGCCTCTGGCTTGTTCTCAAATGACAACATGAAAGTAAACCTACCAGTAGGGCAAAATATGTCATTCAAAAAATAATCCACAAGTGTTTCTCTAACTAATAAATGATTCAATGGAAAGATAACACCCAGGCACGGTGCATGCCTGCCATATGGCTTCAATTCCCTTTAGGTGAGTGTGGGTTTTTTTTTTTCTCCTTTTCTCATTAGTCTCCCACCAAGTATTGTGTGTGCCAAGCACCATGGGTTCTACAGATGTTCTCTGAAATAAAGGCATGCTGTTCTATTTGTTAGAATGTATGTAGATTTCTTATCCAGATAGTCTAATAACAATTTTTTTTAAGTTTCTAAACTTTCAAAGTAATAAAAGTTAGTTAGATAGATAGAGAGAGAAAAAAAATCACAACTATCTCTGGGTGATATCTCTACTGGTTGTCATTTTTCTATCATAAACATGCATTTTTTCCTAATAAAAATGCTAATAAATGCATGCATGTATCACAAACTCCATCTCAGAGTGATATATCTTGACCTCAACTGTGAGGACTTAATGTTTTTTTCACATTCAAATTATTTTTTGCACTTTTCCTATGTGATTTGTGTGAAGTAAGCATTCAATAAATCATAGTTGTATTAAATAGATTTCCTTCACTGACAGGACCAGCTAAAGCTGCCCCAAAATCAACCATATTAACTCAATTCTTTACTACAGTGTTTCCTGATTTTCTTACTGTAAACATTTCTAAAATGGACTAGGATTCAAATCCAAGATATCAAACTCTTCTTTTTCTCAAATTAGTTTTATTAATCAGTCATCAAGTTCTCGAGAGTATTGCATTTTGTGCCTCTATCATGCATCTTCTCTTTTCTTTTAAAATGATTCCATAGCAGAATAGATGATTAAATGTATATTGCAACATACAGAATAGATAGCTCTATATTTCTTCATAAGACTGGCTTCTAATGCCATATCTTCACTTCTTATGAATATGCTGTAAAGTTAGCATGGAATTAATATGTTCTTTAATAATTATTTATTTTGCTTATGGAAATAAAAATCAAAATGGTTGTTAATGGAGTTGGGGATATAGCTTAATGGTAGAGCCCAAAGCCCTGGGTTCAATCTTCTGTACCAAAAACTAAAAATAAAAAAGGGGTTAGAAAAGAGCTTGGATAAATACTTTTTAAGCAATTGTTTTATATTATTAGAAGTAAAATGTGTTTAATCTAGGAAATTTGGGAGGGAACATAAAATTATAAAGAAATTATATCACTGTACTTAATTATGAAATACATTAAATGAAATTTATATTGCTTTAAAATGTGCAATACCTTATAGATTGCTTTAGTGGACATTCTAGGATAGGGCCCAGTCTCCTTGGTATGAATTACAAGGTCTTTAACTCTCCTATGGTCTGAGCTCTCCAACTTTGTATTTCACATTCTTCCCTAGTGACAAACTCCAACCAGGGTTTGTTGTATTGTTGTTGATTTCTTCCTAACCACTAGATCTTTCTATGGGGTTGTAGCTTCCTGGAACATTTAGTTCTTCACTCCCTCTCCATATATTGTTACCTTCTTTCAGAGTTGCCTATATGTGATCACCAACTCTCAGTAGTCTGCAAGATATCACTCTCTGGACTACCCACATATGAGGTAAGTTTCTTTTACATAATGTCATTTAGCTAAAAACTTCTTTATACTCTCTTACAATTCAAGATAATAAGAGGTAAATCAAAATCATTCATCATCCTCCCAAAATACCACTGGGAATGTTTGCTATATATCAGATTAGGCATCAGAATGCTGAAGAGATATGTAAATTTGAAGTAAAAAAAAAAAAGATTAAATTTTCAGAAGAGATAGAATTCTTTGGATAGGATAAGATAGAAGACTGGTAAAGTTTTTCTGGCTTACTAAGGAAATAACATGGTACCCAAGGATTTCATTACTCAAAAACAGTGAGAGAGAGAAAAGAAAAGATGCACCATGCTATGCCATGGTTTGAGGCAGCAAATGCAGTTAAAATGTATTTAAGATCACCTTGACTCCAGCCCAGGACAATTAAGTTAGAATTTCTGGGCATGGACCCAAGCATCATTTTTTTTTTTACTTTTTAAAAAAATTCTTATGTGATTTACTGCTTACAACAATAATTGAGAATAATTAAGGTATTTTGTTATAAAGAAATTTGAACTCAATACAATTTGTTGTCACTTCTCTAGAATTGTACAGAACCAAGTCTGTCCTTTAAAATGCTATCATTATATATTCTATACCTTCCCTCGCCTTTATGTCTCTTATCTACTGTCTCACTTTAGCAATAGCACTAATTTTTATTTGAAGTTTATGTTGAACATTAGTAACATTGTAAATATTAAATTAAGTATTTGATTTTTTTAATTTGTAAAAATGCAACACCAAGAATATAACTCAAGCAAAACTAAAGATATAGTTCTGAATAAATATTTCAGTAATCCTACCAAAAACTGATCATACTGCTCACGGTCAATGCTCCGAGTACAATAGATATCCCCAGTGTCTTTCTCTATGTAGAATAAATTGAAGGGCTCTTTGTCCACTCCTGGTCCACTTATGGAGTAAAAGATGGTGTAATTCTGGGCAGCATCAGATTGGATCTATAACAACAAGTGACAATTTAGGAACAGATCAAATATATTGTGATCAATACCTTCAACCTAACTTATGAGTTTATTTTGTATCACTCTCTTGCTTACTCACCTATTATTATTACTTTTATTATCTACTAAGCATTTCCCATGTTTTTCAACTTCTCATTTGCATTCTGGAATGTGCAAAGCCACAGATTCTGTCACTTATTTCACACTAAATTATTTTAATATCTGCAGAGCAACAAAATTTATGGAGTAATATGCCTTTATAATTCCTATGCACTTATTCTTATTTCTTTATAAAATATAGTACAGAGATTTTGAATTATTTGGAATGGAAAATTACATGATTAAAAATATTGTCAAAGTAATTCAACTTTGCACAATTAATTATTTAAAAACCTCAAAATTCCAAAACTGTCCATCCTTGCATCTCAGCTATGTGGAAGTGAGACAACTTTACTTAGTAAACAGAAAGTGATGATGTTTTGGAGGATAAGTGTTCAAGCAAAAGTTGAATTATGCAAACTCTCTAGGCAATCCTCTGTACATAAGCGCTTAAAAAGTCTATCATAATATTAGGTGAACCTAGATGCAAAATATGGACATAAGAAATTCAAAATGTAAAGCCTGATTCTCACTATTTAAATACAATTTCTGGAAGAAAGTAATAAAATATATTGGGTCACTTCTATGTGATCGTAGCTCTGATGAATAGATGATTCTATTGCTATCAATAGTTTAAAAGTTCTGACTCAATATATTGTGCAACATTCAAATGGAAAGTTTTAACCACAAAAAAATCTTTTATACATATGAAACCAAATAAGATGAAACATACCTGCTGAACATGTTGGGGAAATGGACCTAATGAGTTCTCCATCAGCGAACAAGGAATAGGAGCCCATCTTCTCTTACTGCGCTTGAGAACTCTGTCTTTGGTATGTCTTTTCTTAGATGCCTATGTTTAATGAGAAACAAAGAAGTACAGCATTGTTTTTCATTCTTAGGAATACAATTTTCACATATACATTAGCATGGAGAAAATAAGTAAGGTCCATACCTTATGATGGATAATAACAATTAACAATATGATGGATAATCTCCAAAGAATTTTTGTTTTTCAATAATAACACACACACACACACACACTAAAACCTTAGACTCAGTATAGTCTCTCGTTCCACCTGTTTCCTGATTTAACCAGTCAACAAGCAGAAATTTATAGGCATACCCTTTATACATAAATGCTAAAATCTAGCACAGTATTTTGGGTGAATAAGAAATTTATAGGGCATTGGGAAAATATCACCTTGAGATACTGTAGACATCCCTAAAAATAGATGATCCGTTAACAAATAAAAAGAATTGATTTTAGTTCATGAAGAATGGTAAAACCCAAATTTGATCTTTTTTTTTTTTGTACCAGGGATTGAATTCAGGGGCACTCCACCACTGAGCCACATCCCCAGCCCTATTTTGTATTTTATTTAGAGACAGGGTCTCACTGAGTTGCTTAGCATCTCGCTTTTGCTGAGGCTGGCTTTGAATTTGTGACCCTCCGGCCTCAGCCTCCTGAGCTGCTGGAATTACAGGCATGCACCACCACACCGGGCTCCAAATTTTACCAATCTTACAATGTGAGCATTTTTATACCTACATAGAGATATACAACAGTGTTTGCTCAAAGTACATTTTATTTTACGTAATGTGGTGATTCTTTGCAATTTAGATTAAAAAATATTCGTAAGGCTTGATCATATTTTAAACTCAGTGAAAAGAAGTTCTTATAATTAAAATGAATTTTGCTGGGAAATACTCTTTTAAATTGAGTTACTTCTTTTTCTTTTTCTTTTTTTTTAGATCACTTATTAATGAATGATTTTATAAGACCAAAATCGTTGTGTTGAGTTGGCTTAAATGAGATGTGAATTTCCACAGCTTTCTCCCTCCTCACTCCCAGACTAATCACTGCTCTTCCTTCACTGCAAAAAAATGAGGCTCCATCCAAGACACTCATACCAATCTTCTGGCCTGATCACACCTCCACTCTCTGAAGAAAGGAACCCTGTGGGATTGTCTACTAATATGGGAGTAAGTTTTAGACCATCTCTTTTCCTCTTTCAAGAGACAAATATTCAATCCACAGTTGGTTGGGAAGGAGCCACACAGAGTGAGTGCCTCATCTCCAGGCTGCTTCACCCCTCCTCCTCCAGCTTGAGATGGGCCCCTCCCTTGTCCTTGTTCTTCAGGTGGATATCTCTTAGAGCCACACCTCAAAGCACTCACGAAAACCTTTGATCCCCTGACTTTGCTACAGATTCATTCATTGTTACACACCTGTGTAAACAGCTGTAGAACTCCTTAACAGTCTAGTATTTGTAGATATTAATTATAAATGGAAAAGACAAAAAAAAAATAATTACTCAAGGAAAGTGGTTTTAATCTGAAAGGAAGTGTAGGAAACGAAGGATTCTCATAAGGACCTTAGTATATGAAGCTATTTAAATCCTTATCTAGTATACCTTTTCTTCTCTTGCCAACAGCACGATTTCTATCTCCTTTTGTTCCTGCCTCTGACTGTCTGAGAGTAAAATGGAAAACGTCTTCCCTTCAGAAGACAAAAGGAGGTCATGTGTTGTGTAGATGGAGCCATCTTCCAGAATTCTAAAGGCAGGGTCGCTGGACAGGATTTGGCTAGACGACTTGAGACACTCCTCCAGATTCACTGCAGAGAAGAAATTTCACAGCAATTTGTCAGGTGAAACAGGAATAGAACAAGTTTTACAGGAATGACAACTGAGAGTTAATGCATGAGAATCAGAAAGGGTGGTGACAGGCAAGCACCTGCTATTCTAAAATGGAGGAGCCAAAAGAATTAAATAATTAAACTAGTGGAGACAGATTTCCCATTATCCTCATGAATTAAAAAGGGAACAATTTTCCTGGTGACATTGAATCTGGTCTATTTCTTCCACTTTACCTCCTACTGACAGGTTTGTACATACATGTGGAGATGGCCCTTGACTTTATAAGGGTGCAATAGCAATACACCTTCCATGGAAACTTTACTTGAATTGTGAATTTTAATTTCTATTGTTTTCTCAGCTAGCCATATGGGATAGCACTCTCTCTCTCGTGATGCTGGGCAGGTGCTCTGAGCAATAGCTCTTAGTGATCCATGTGAGCAGGAAAATCAATAGCTGATCTACAGCAGATATTGCTAAGATATGATGTTTGGTAGTTTAAGTGTATTAAATGCATTTTCCAGTTCTGAGATTTTCCATTTACAATAGGGCTATGATCCCATTTTAAGTCAAGCAGCTGTGGATGATAGACAATAGATATAGATAGATCTAGAGCATACACATTCACAAATTTGTTATCTTATATCACAGATATTATAACTATATGATGTCAGTAGATTTTGCAATAAATCTTTGACAGTTAAAACTATCTTGCAACAAATCTATTGTTAAGCAATATTTCTCACTAATATTGCCAATAATCTTTTTATAATACCTTTTTGAGATTAAAGAAACTCAGCACTTAATATGTATTGATGACTACAGTGGTAAGATACCCTGAAATTTTGTTTGACTTTCACAAGCTAGTTTGTGAAGTAGGTCATATACATTCTTGGTGGATACTTGTTCATTGTTATCAACCTCAAGTCCAAATTTTATTTGGAACATTTAAATTAGGAATTATTAATTTCATCTCTAATCACTTGGCATTGACAGCAGATTAGCTGATATGAATTGAAATGTGCTTCTGGTTTTGGTGTCTTGATTTGTTTGGACTAATAAACTCTCTGATGTTTGCTAATTTTTGGGGGGCAAGAAAAGCATACCAGTAACTGTTATTTTAATTATTTTTAACCACTACAAAAAACAAGAAGACTATCTTTTATTGTATGGCCAATTTTAATGCCAAGTAGCTACTATGTGGCTTTTATCCCAAACTTCATAAAAACAGCCTGAAGCGAAATGTAGCAAGTTACAACTGTTAAATTCTCAGTATGATTTTCTTACCTTTGCCTACAAGTTTTTCGGCCTGAAGATGAGAAGGAACTTGAAGAGAAATTTTCTGACAAGCATCACAAAATAATATCAGAACCTCAAAAGAAAGAAAGAAAGAAAGAAAACCTAAGAATTGCATTTTGAAATACATTTTTACATTGCAGTTTTGTCTTATAAAAATATTTTCAATTTTGAAAGCAAATTAACCTTCGAATCCCTTCTTTTTTCATAATCATTTAAAAAATAACCAACAAAGAATGACTTTAGAGTCACCATAGTCATTGAATATCAATGGAAAATTAAGTGAACAGTTCATCTGATTCATATTGTATAAATGCAAGAAAATGTGTTATAATCCATTGACCTTATATGGAGTTTGTTGCCACTAACACCATACGTAAATGTTCTGATTATCTAGCCTGAAGAACTTATTTAACTCTAGAATTCAGTAATTACATTATCTGTACTGGTTCTCAAATCATCATTTCCACTATTTGAGGGTATATTCTCTGTTTTCAAATTACTTTTTCAGACTATCGTGGCAAAAACTTCAAAGACTAAATGATCTCAAGTCATACAATTAGTCTAAAAAGGACTATATTTCAAAATATAAAGACTTCCCTTTGGGTAAAGATTTCAAATTAAATTCAAGACATAGTTATTGTTTTAAAAATCTAGGTATTTCAAAGAAGACATATTATCTGAAAAATAAAAGTTATCCCTTTGAAGGTTTCAATAAGTCCAAAATATATTTTTCTTCTTTTCTTGGCACTTTATTTAATTTTTCTTCTATCAAAATGATTGCATTTTGATTACTTAAATAGACAGTAGATCAGTTAGATTTCCCAGAACCATATAGGTCATTTATATGATCAGATTTTCTCCAAAGACATATTTCCAGAGTTAATGGACACATTATTTGTGTAGATGAAAGAATAGATAGATATTAATATTAAAAGATATGCATTTCCTTTCCAATTCAACTCAAGTCTATGGAATATATTGCAGCAGCCTGTTCAAATAGACTGTAATTTTAAAAAGCTTTTTTAGCCAGACAATATGAAAAGCTGGAATTTTAAAAGCCATACATGTTTAAATTTGTATAACCACTTATTAAAAAAGGAGAAATTTTTACCTATTTGACTTTCTTATTTAAAGTAATGTGCTAAATTATATCCAAAGAACTTTCCAAAGATAAGGCCTTGTATTAGTAGTAATCTAAAAGTGGTCTAAATATATAAGGTGAAAAGAGCAAAATTTACATGCATATATACATATATATATATATATATATATATATATATATATATATATATATATACACACACACATAACTGCATATACTTGTACATATACCATAAAAGTTTGTGCGTCTGTGTGTGTATAACATTGTTATACGATGCATCCCATTATTTTTCCCATCCTTATCTTCTTTACTTCTGGTCCTAATGCCCCACCTCAGGTTTCCCATCATTAGTGGTCTTCCAGCCTTCAAGTTGGGTCATTGACTAAGTGATTTGGAGGAGTTGTGGTCAGACACCTTTTTTGTCAGTATGGGAATCAAGTATAAATGGGCACAGAATAAATCAAAACATAAGAGGCAGGAAATAGGCCAAAAGCAAAAAAAAAAAAAGAAAGAAAAGTGTGTGAAATCCCTTGGAAATATACCACTACATTTTAGTTAATACTAACTTAAGATGGCCTCTGAGTTCATGTCTCCCCAAGCCATTACAGGATGAGAAGTTCACCATCAACCCTGCATCATACATAATTTATATGCAAAAATATTTGTCCCCATACAGCAAAACCTTCAAATTATGAAAATAAAATGTTTCCAAAATAATGAAAAAGGAAATTCTCAGTTCAGAGATGCTGGATAAGAGATATAGGAAAACTCCTCCCTTCCCCACTTAAAAAAAAAAAAAATCTCATGCAATTGCAAACTATGAAAAATTCAAGTAGAAAGAAAGAAGGCTAATGGTATTTTTAATAACTGTCACATTTTGCTTTTTTATGTTTCCTAATTAAACTGCTTGTTAACTATGAGTTCTGCCTTTCTCTTAGCTCTTCCTGTGTAAAGTAAGAAAGACCTGGAAAATTCATACCTTCACCCCAAATCCTTTTCCCATTCTTGCAGCTCAGTAGAAGGAAGCATGTTAAATACATGAGCTTATTTAAAGACAAAAGTAAAACTCAGAAACTTCTGGGCCAAATGCCTAAGGTTTGAATGTATTCCACTACTTCTTAGGAAAACATCACAACAAGACAGAACAAGAGATTCCCTTGAAAAACTTTAATATCCTGGCAGCAGGCACTGGAACCTTAAGCTAAACACACCCCATCCTGGACCACAAGTCTCTCCACTCTTCTCTGAATTTTTCTTCATTCTACTTTTGTTTGCCCAGTCCATCTTCCCTGCCTTCCGTCCCCACCTCTTCTCTCTTTCAAGCCCTAACTAGAGGCAGGAAGCCGGTAGTGACATGCTTGAGTCCCTAATCCTCGGGTTGTTACTCACCAGAAGAGAGAAAAGGAGCTGCTTACAGAAGATGCTCCCTGGGGCAGCGGAGGCCACAGCCATCAGAAGTGGTCCCAATGGCCAGGGATGGTGACCAGACAATGGGGTAGCCTGAGATGCACAGGGCAGCTAAGCAGATGCTGGAACTTGTCAAGATGTTCTGCAGCCACCTTGACAGTGCTAAGCTGGCTTTGGAAGAGAGACAGGAGGCAAGTGATAGATGTCAGGAGGAGCCGCAGGAGAATTGTTTTCCCCCTGTCCTCTGGTCAGTCTTCCTCCTTCCAAGCCAATGACCTCTGAATGTAAAGAGGTTTTCCTACAAGTGGGGAGAGTAAGGTACAAAACACCCCAAACCTAGTCACTAGCTCCTCCTCATAGCAGCTTTCAAAATTTCTCCTGCCACTTAACACATAGGCAGAAGCAAGAGGGAACACCCTCCATCCTCAGCCCTCCTCCCTTTACCCCCAGGTTGATGCTATGAAGTCCTCCCCAGTTATTACCCACTCCCACGGGCTCCCCTCCTTCTTGGCCTTATTAACCTGCCTTGCCCTTGGGTAAAAACGTAAATTGTGCACAAACTCCGTGCACAGAAGTGATGCCTCCTTGGCTGGCTATTGGCAAATCAGAGGGCATGAGCATGTGCAATCACATTCATCTGGTCTTATCTCGCCATCGAAGCATTTAGGTGTAGTCTGTCACATAGAGCACTGTGGCTGTGCCAGAGATCTGGCATTCCAGTCTATAGCAGTAGCTTCGCAGGTACACTGTCTGCTCCCTATTATTTTCTGTCTATGGGGGTTTACTCCTCTAGACATCACAAGGAACTCCCCCAGAGTGTCTCAACCTCATAAAAGTAAAATAATAAAGAAGTAGCTAGGATATGATTTTCTTATTGTTTGCTTTTTGTTACACACGAAGCCATATTTTTTGTTCTTATCTTTTTTCTTCTAGGATAACTACAATTGGTGAGAGCAAATCTCATTAGAATCACTCTATTCACCTCTAATTACTTGTGCATTACAAGTTGTATCCCAGATCTCCTAGCCTAATGGTACAAGAATGCCATCATTTTTAGATTTTCTGAACACCAATGACTTGTAATGACTTTAACATCACTTTTTTTTCTGTCACAACTCAGTGAGCTCAATCATATCAGTGGTACTCAAGGGCCGAAATGGAGTTAAGGGAGGAGGATAAATATTTTCAAATGTTAATTGATAACTTTTAGCTACAGAGAAAAAAACTAAAATCTGTATTTACTGGATCACTGATATGAATCGGGAGCCATAGCAGGCATTTCAGTGAATCTTCCCAACAGTCCAGGGAGGGCTCCTTTTAGGAGATGATGGAACCATAGGATTGCAAAACATGTCCTTTGTCCATGAGTATAAAGTGGAGAAGTGGACATCTGAACCTAGATCTCAGTCACTAAATTGCTACTCTTATTTTTGTCAGTATGCTTACTTGTAGACACTACTTAAAGGTATGCAAAGATGTTTATTCATTGAACAAATACTTAAGGGTCTCTATACTGGGCTCTGTCCTCTGCTAGAGGAACACCATGCTCAGATCAAAAAGGAGGTTGTAAATCTTATGTTAAAAAATAGTGCACCTTCTCAAGGGGGATGTGAAAAAGATCTTATAGCAAATGTTAAATATCCTAGCAATTAAGAGGAAAATTAATGATAGATAATTAAAGTCTTAAAGACTCAAGTAGATGAGTTTATTTTAATATATGAATATTGCACAGTCTATTTTCCACCACAGACTTATGGCCATAAAAAAGAAAGATGTAAATATAAAGAGCCACATGACACTTGTATTTCTTTAATGGTTAGCTTAAAGTTGATCAAGAAAGCATACCTTTCTATGGATTTGATGTGTTTTTTAGGAGAAAGTAGCAAATTTCTTAAGAATTTTTTTTGCATGGCCAACTTATAGAAAGGGCTGGTTATAAATAAATTCAAGACTTTAAAACAATCATTTACAGGTAGGAGTATGGTCTGTCAGGTGACCCAATTTATTCTAAAAGACTAGACTGGTCACAATGCTGCACTTATAAATAAAGCCACAACAAGGCACTTTGAATTCAATACACATGACCAAAGATAACAGAAACCACAGGGGTGAAAACAGAGGTGCAATCTTAGTATGAGAAGAGTGATGAACAATGGAAAAAAATCTTAGCTGTGAAAAAAACTTCTTGGGTCCCATGAGCCTCCTGCAGCAGAAAGTCCCTTCAATTCCAAGGAACTCATAGACTTCATCTAGGTAAAGGCTTATTGAAAATTAGAAGTAAAGTCTGAGCCTTGATAATTACTATAAATTATTTCTTGAGGCTGTTTGCATAGAATACTGATTAATTTTGCATAAAAGGACCACTCCCCAGTATTATCAAAACTGCTGGAAACCCTATGAAAAGAAATGTTAGCACATATCGCCGAGGAATTTAGAACTCTCTCTAATCAGCACATACACTCAATTCAAACTGGCTTAAGAGAAACAAAGCAAAATTGCTTAGGTTGAAGAGATCTGTTGAGTCATGTAGCTGGAAAGTCAAGGGCTATCCTAGACTCAGGGACAAGCTCTTCCCATCGCTTTACTCTGCTTCTCTTTGTGTTGTTTCATTGTCACTGATTTTCCAGTGTATAGGCAAAGATGGCCACCAGGTGCTCCAAGGTCGCATCCTATTTGTTTACCAATTCATTGTTGAAAGAGCATGGCTCATTCCCAATAATTTGAGCAGAGCTTCTGAATCTTAAGCATCAGCTTAAAGGTCAGAGGTGATTCAGACCACAGGGGTCAAAGTGGCAGAGAAGCCATTACTCAAGGATGACAATGGGTTACAGACAGAAAAAAGTAGAAATAGTGGCTAGACAGGAAGTTCTATAGATTTCCATTAAATCAACCTTTCCTTTATTGTAACTTTAATAATACCAGTCAATAATCCATTCATGCTTTATTAACACCTTTTCTACTCCAACCCCTATCCATGGTGCTGGTGACACAAAGCTGAAGACATCATCTCTGCCCTCATGGAACTTATAATCTGTTATACATTTTGAATATTAGCTCAAGTAATTCATAGTGTGGTTGGGATTAAAATTCTGATGAAGAGAATATAACAAATGTTTTATACTTATATTCATTTCATGTTAATTCCTCAAACTATTTTTTTCTTTGTTGGACTCCAAAATCAAATGTTGGTAGTTAAAGTCCATCAATTTTTTTTTTAAATCCATCATTCAACTTTGGAGGTCAACGAAGAAAATAAATAGTTGGATTTGTGGGCTAGACTGAAAGACAAGTGTTGTCATTCCCATAAAAAACCATACTCAAAAGAATCATTTTCAATTTCTTTGCCATTGAACGAAAAGTAAACCCCATTTCTCAAGCTTCCTGCAGCTGGTTTGGGATGTGACAGAAATAAATAGCTATTGATCAGCTTCTGAATGGCGTTTCATGAAATACTTCTAAGAATTTGATCTTGTCTGGTGATAAATGAACAAACAGGTTGTAATCTCAACGGTCCTGGTGCTGCTTTGCGGGTCTGCGAGTAAAGATGAAGAGTTAGACAACCAGTATTCCCAATGGTTACTATGAACTACCACTATTTCTTATGTACAGAAAAATGAGAAACTGAAACTTCTCTGCACAATCAAATAAAACGGTCTTTACTTTGTGGATAGAGAGTATTGCAGATTGTATAAATGTTTGGTAAAAGTTTCTCCTCCTTTATGAGTTTGAACTAGAGTTTCTGAGACTTTTTGTCTGCACTTTGGCTATGTGTGTGAATGCTTACTAGTCTTTTTCCTAAGACATATGGAAAGTCTGAGGCACAGTGATAAAGGTGAACTTTACCCCAGCTTAGCCTGCACTGCTCTGCTGGCTCTCTTGCTACTTACCACTATTCTGGAAGTTACCTTAGAGTAGAGCGTGTTTTGCTAAAACTCAGCAGATGATATTAGAAACTGAATAATTTATATTCTAGGGAATATGTTTCTGTACTGCTGTGTTCTGCATATTTTTTTTAGCAAAGAGGGTTGTCCTCTGCCCTCACTGTTAGAAAATCATTCTGCGAGTAAGAGATAAGTTATACACATTCACCTCATGAACAACAGAAGACAATAAGTTAGGTTAAAATATGAGATTTAAAGGATCTATGAGGGACTACTTAACGCCTATTTTATTTATTATGTTCAGACTTGAGAGGGATTTTCATGCTTTGCATTGTTTGGATTTTTCTCCCTGTTGTAAAAAATTTTGATACACACACACACACACACACACACACACACACACTTTAGTATTCCATTTAACAAATGACAAAACTGTGAGGAAGAAGATTTGCCTAAATTGATACTAACAGTCTTAGGTCAGGCCAGAATTTAAATCTTTGCTTAAAAGTTGGTGATGTATCTGGCTTATTGGTTGAGTAGATAACTTGATGAAAATAAGAAGTCAGCACTATAAGATAAAGTTTTTTAGAACTGGATGTTGGGTACTGTAGTATCTCAACATATTATTCAGATTGCTAAATTCTGCAAACCTCCTAGTGAATTTCAGTTAAAAGAAGTGGCAAACACCGGTAGAATTTCAAATATTATTGGTTGCATCCTATATATCGTCAATGTTTTGTAGACAAAACATGTATTAGAAAGAAATATTTTCTTACCCATTCTATTTCCATTATACTACATCTATTAGTGAATTGGTAAAGTATGTAAGAACTTTTACATTTCAGATATAGTGTGCAATGTATATGAGAAACAGAAAGAAAAAGAAGACAGAAACCTATAAATATTTTTAGCCTAAACCACATTAAGATGTGGCTCAAGTGGTAGCGTGCTCGGCTGGCATGCATGCGGCCCGGGTTCGATCCTCAGCACCACATACAAACAAAGATGTGTGTCCACCGAAAACAAAAAAATAAATATTAAAATTCTCTCTCTCAAAAAAATCTTAAAAAAAAAGAATACATCTCTCCACTTATATTTGTGTTAACTGTGGTGTCCTTTATGTAAATGGATTAAAAGTGATTAACACTAAACAAAAGAAACTACACCCATAAAGCATACTCCCTTTATGAAATGGCCTCAATTAGCCACTGGGCTCAAATCATTATTGCATTATGATGCTTCTGCAATCAATTGGTAACAGACAATTCTCCTGCAGTGGGAGTGTTCAGGGAACATGAGTCTAGAAAATGCTGAGGTTAGGAACTCCCAGATTCCTGTCTCAGAGTTTGGATTCAAATTAGAATGGGTGGGCCCAATGCTTTTCCAGGTTCTCAGTGCTTTTGTAGAATAAGTCTACTCTTTTAA